TTCAAGGTTTAGGGTTTAGGGGTTTCAAGGTTCATAGTCAGCCCCAAAAGGCTGGAAACCGGATTAAGGACAATTAGTGCTGGGATTCCCTTTACATCGCTCTTCAGGATTGAAGCTATTGGGTTTCCAACTTTTGGGCTTCTACTGTAGGGGATTTGATGGTTTAGGGTTAGGGATGTTTTGAGCGCTAGACCCTCGAAACATGTCCAACACAGACCCCGAACTTTGTGGACCTAGCCCTTAAACTCTTGAACCCAAAACTTTCAAGCATCAATGGTAAGCGTGAAACTCTAGAACCTCAGCAGCCCCAAATGCCCTTTCCGTTTTTCCTCCAGTCTTCTCTTTTCTGGAGGGTTCTGCCCACGATGCTCTGGGGTGTCTATGGGAGTTGACATAAGACTGGCTACTGGCTAACTGAAAGGGCTGGATGTTGTTCTGGCGGGAGTACCGGTGTGAGAGGGATCGGGGTTTTACAAGCTGTTGGCACCTGTAGTGTGCCAGACATGAAAATATAGGTGTCGTTAGCCTGATGCACCAGCTTGGCGCACACAGTTGTAGGAATTGGCCCCTGTAGCAAAGAATGTCTGACTTTAGGGAGTGCAGCTGGATCAGGTGGAAGGGAACCTAGCCCGGAGCACAGGCCTCAGACCCTTTAGCACCCGGAGCATGGAGAGATGGGAGATTCTTCTCAAAACCAGGTCAGCTTTATGGGGCCCGAGCATGAATGCATCTGAACATACCTGGTTTCGAGAAAGTCCCATGAATTGCCCCGCGCCTCAAACGGGACGGGCCTTTTAAGTCTTTAGGAGCCAAGAGGGACTCGCCTTCCGCCTTCCGTGCAAAAGGGAAGAAGGAGTTTGTGAAGCGTTTCCGTGGGGCTTCTCGAGGGTACGGATCTGTGCACATGGAGTTCAGCTGATGTCTCACAGCTGTACACGATGCTTTCTGCACTGACGACCAGCACCCTCAACTCTAAACCCAGCGATGCAGGCTTCAATACCCCAGGCCGTGAACCCCAGACCTTGCAGCCTAAACAACTCGTAACCCGGGACCCTCAATCTCGACCTTTCATCCTAAATCCTGGAACTTGCGTCTCTTTGCAGCTGTCGTCAACAATTTAGACCCCTAGAACCCTGTACGGATCTATGCATTCAGCCACGACACCCCAACATGTTGCACCCCAAAGCCTGTAGTCGCAGGCCTGCACGCTTACGCCTGAAGCGGAAGGCGTAACTCTCAAGCCCCAAACCCCTAATCGCCCCATTCCCAAAGCCCCGAACTAGTCTGCCCCTTTTTCCCTCGACCCTTTAAGGCCCGAGCGCCCTAAAGGCCCGAATGGTTGAATCCTAAGCCCTTGGATCCGAAATCCCAAAGCCCATGGTTTGCCTGGCTGAGTCGGTCCGCCTGGGGCCTGGCGTGCCGGGGTTGTCGGGTTTGGTGCCTTTGGGGGTTTTCGCTCAACAGCTGCAGGGCTACGGCTTGTTTGGGAGAGCTGCACGTTAGGCCACCCTAAACCCTAAACCCTAAACCGCTTAAACCCTAAACCCTAAACCCCAAACCCTAAACCCTAAACCGCTTAAACCCGAAACCCCAAACCCTAAACCCTAAACCGCTTAAACCCGAAACCCCAAACCCAAACCCCATCTGTTCC